AATAATAGGTGCATCGAGAATTTTTTTTCTGATAAAATATAACAACATAAATTGGTCATTCCATTATTTAACAACCACCAAAAGTAATTTATATGCAAAAGAGAAATGCTTCATTAATGACTGATAACTTGCATACGTGTTTTTGTGTACAAAAAAAAATACAATGAAAACTGTAAATAATGATAGAGACTATGCTTTAGCAAGACAAAATGGTTTTTGGCTTTTAAAAATTGTTTTTAGGTTAGTTTTTTATGTGAATAACAAGAGACAATTGTGTTGGAAAATTTAGTATAAATATTTATATTTTTACTAACTTTGGACATATATAGGGACCAAAAATGTCATTCAATTAATGATTTGTTTCCATTACACATTCAACACAATTCAATTGTGAATAACAACAGACACACTTGATTTCACTTTTTTTTTAAATCAATTGAAAAAATCTGATGAATATAAGCTTAAATCAACTGTGTTCCAATTATTTACCATTGGAAAACAATGATTTTTCATTGTTCTTGTTTTCTATAATTTTTCATTGTTCTTGTTTTCTATATTTCGAGATTGTTAAAATTTGGAGTTATCTATCTAGATATCTATTTGATATGTTGGCCCTAATTGATTGTACTTTGAAGTTTTTTTTTTCTTGTTTTCTTTATTTCACTTGACACTTCTAAATTGAATTTGGATTAAAAATTGGAGACTGTGATTACGAATCTATCTATGCATATTTTATGTTGAGAAAGTGTTTGGAATTAAGAGTTTTCTTTATGAGCCAAAAATAATGTTTGGAATAATAAAGCATTTTTCATAAATTGGTCACTCTTTAATTACCAAAAGCTGCTTATTTCATTACTTTTAAGAATTTGACCAATATACCCTTAGACCTTTAACCTCCAAAAGTCGGCTCCTCAAGCGATTACTTTCAATAATTTCAAGATTTTGCATTGTGTAGATACCTAACAGAGACAAAATTCAAGTCGCCTGTGATTGTATACAACTACCCAAAAGATTTTGCATTGTGTAGATACCTAACATGAAAGTTAATCGTGATAACAAAACAGTAGTTGCCATGGATGTTCTTGTCCCAAAGGTGATGTGAAATCTTTTGAGGACTCATACATCAAGTTTTTTGGGCTCCTATTTGGGCTTTTAATTAGCCTAATGTTAATTCTCATAGTGAACAACTAAGTGGATTCATTTTAAAGATGGACTATTAATACATATTTATTTCATCACTTTCTCAAACTGCAAATTGGGTCTATATGGTTTGCAGTTTTCTTTTTTGGATTCGAGATAAAATGTTTAAAGTTGCACAGAATGTTCCTATACCCCGTCGTTCCAGGACGAAACTTTGTGTGAGACAATCTTCTACATGATGTCGACAAAACAAGATGACAAATTATTATTTGCCAAAAAATAAAGTAGGTTTCATAGATGGTTTAATTCACATGCCAGATGAAAGATCATCGTATTGAATGAACAAAAACAATGCAATGTTGTGGTAAGAGAATGGCTTGCTAGTGTAATGGATAAGGAGATTAAACATAAAAATTAACCGATGTATTTATAACCAAACCATTACAGAAAAAGTGAAAATGGTGATGTGGTTTTTTATTTCCGTTAACCAAATATAAGTCAAATTGTCATGTTTCATTTATTTTTGTAAAACCCCGGTGACATAATGGATACTTCAAAAATATCAGACAAAGTCACAAAACTGCAAGAATGGTTCTTGTGATATGTTCATAATTGTCATTTTGGTCCAAACAAGATTGGACTAGCACCAATGGTCTAAAAATTTGATTTTGTTGTGAGTTTGGTCCAAAATTTTAAAAAACTTTATATGAAGACATATTTTTCCTTGGTATTTTCCTTTTTCCTTTCTTTTAATTACTTTTCCATTTTTCTAATTAAAAATAAAAGACAAAAAAAAAAAAACAAAAAAAACACCCCACCACTACCCCGCACCTTATATCCCTAACATAGTTGACAATGCATGGGGCACACTTTATGTCCTTAAGGGCACATCTTGATGCCCAAAGGGAGCCTCACGCTAAAGCTTCACGAGGATGCTCCAAAATGCCTCTAAATGCTTCAACTTTGATTCCAAATACTCAAGTCATATTTTAATAATAAGTGAATTACTTTGCGTAAGTTATACTGTTTATGAGATATGGCACTTAAGTCTTTACCTCTTTCGTAGAACAATGTGTTCCAAAGCCACATATCGAAAGGATATAATACATATAAAACATTAACTTTACAGACTTTCTGAGATACAACCTTAAACTTCTCATAGACTTTTTTTATTAAAGAGTTAGAGGGCAGTACAAAAGTGTAACGTCCCAAAACTCATACTTTTTAATAACTAAACCATCTGTTCCATTTCATTAAAAATAAAATTAAGAAAAAAAAAAGATCATTGTAGTAATAGAAGTAGTATTCAAAATATCAAAAAACAAAAGTGTGAAATCTCCGGTAGATGCATGCAATCATGTCTGGCCCTTCCCCTTGCCACAAGAGGTACTTGAAACATTTAAACTTAAAATCATAATCACAAAGCTTAATGGGATCCCCAAAATACCACATACAACATACATAAACTAACAAGTCTATTTCAACCCATGTGAATGATGTGGTCCTCCTACAGTCTTACAATCACTTTATTTGTGGCAGTCTTTCCTACTATGGTCATCTCATAGTCTTTCATGCAATTGTCATGGTCCTCCCATGGTCTTTCATACAGTTTCCATGGTCCTCACATGGTATTTCATGCAAAAGTCACAAAAACAATCTTCGTATACTACATAGTATAGTGAGAAGGCTCACCTCGCAAATCAAAGTAGACTACACGAATGCTTGCAAGACATAAGGCTGGTACTACACACCACCCAACGGTAATCAAAGGGTCAAGCCTTATTCTACCATCTAAAATTATCAGGTCGACCAAAAGTCAACCAGGCCAAAAAGTCGACGGTCAACAGTCAAAGTCAACTCGACAACCACCACGCCATGGCAAGGCCATTGCCATGTTGTGGTCTGCTTCCATCAGAAAAGCGATAGATCAGTCCACCATGTCGTAGTCAGCACATGACCATGCAGTGGGGACGTTGATAGCTCCAAAATTCCATTAAGTCCTTAATTAGCTAAGTCATTTGCTCAAACTTTCTAGAAGGCTTCTTGACACCCTAAAGGCTCATAAAAATCCTAACTTACAGACATACATGTCTAATGCATGGCATGCACCCAAGTTATGTCAAATGGTATGAAAATTGGCATTAATCCTTTGTATGCCCCCAAACCACACATAAGTTCTAGATCTGAAAGTTGGAACACTCCAGGGACATTCAAGGTTGATAAAGTTGCAAGTTTTACTTGAATTTCATCCATAAACTCCAACCAAAACCGTAAAAAAAGACTCAAAATGCCATAAAATGCTATATCTATGAAATCAAAACCATTAAGCAGGGAATTTAAACACTTACAAAGGTCCATGAGATGCTCAAAGAGGTTGGGATAATGCTTGCTTGCTGATCTCTAGCTTAAAAGTTCCTTTATTCTTCCTTCAAAGATCAAAAACCACCAAATTTAGCTCAAAATGGAGAGAGATGGATTAGGGTTAGGATGAGAGTGTTTATGGACCGATAAAGGTTGAGGGTGGTCGAAACTTTAGCCCTCACATCCTTTATATAGGGCCCAAAGCCCGAAACTTTGGGTTTTGTGCAAATAGCGGTGCCACATGTTGTATCATTTAACCACCACGACGTGGTGATGTGCCACCACCACGCCATGACAAACGAAGCATCACGTCGTGGGGAGGCAAATCCCAAAAATCAACTCTTAATGCAAGAGAGTTTCAAAGAATAACACCTGCTTTCCTTGTGTTCTTCTCCGACGCTCGCCCAATGTATCACCCATCCTGATATCTTGTCGTTCTCTTAATCAAATTTTGGCTTTAACCGGTAAAAAATAGAGTTAATGGCATTGGCTAAAAAAAGAGGAGAGAAGTGAGCCTTGAGGTACACTCACTTCTCCATTTTTGTGTAGGTTTTTGAGATTCTCAATCTTCTTTTTTTAACGGTATAACTTGTGAGATTCGAACTTAAAGTTATTCATTTTGGAATGTTGAGTAATTCCCAAATTGTCACCTCTACTAGAACTAATGAACATTTGTGGCAAATAGTATAATCATTACAATACTCTAAATCCTCATTCTAGATTGCTTGTGGGTAAAAAAATAGAAGCAACAACAATGAACAATCACGTAACAAACTAACAATCCCACTTCATCAACCATCGTTTGTAGTTTTCTCCATTCATGGAGTTAGATATTTGTATTGTCTAGACTAAAAAGACAACCTTTCAATTCCACATAAAAGAAGCAATGATAACTTTCGTTTTTGTGGTATTTAAAGTTTTACGTGCGACAAGATAGAGATCATAATCTCAACCTAATAGATGATGATATTAGATAATCATATCCATGTTTAATTAGGTATAGGATATAATTTCATTGCAAAGTAGTTTATTTATTTATTTTAAAAATAAATAATTCTCTAAATCCAACTCAATTTGGCGATGTGTTGTCGTGTAAAAACCCGATTCAACGCAATTCCTTTCGACAAGGATTTACCTTCACCCCCAAATCAAATGCAATGAACGCGCTTACAACCTGGTATCGCTTGTTGTTTTCCAATCAATTCTAGAATTTTCAGTTCATTCTTCCACTTCAACTTCCAGATCCAAAAACAAACCCTAAATTCTATTCAACGTTCATCGCCTCAATTTACTCCAATTGCTTATTCCAATTATCACAAATCAAGTAAAGAATTCCATCGCTCTGTGCTTTGTATTGATCGTTTAATCACTTGAAAGTTGAAACTGTAGAATAGTTTTTTTTTTCTTTTCATTTTGCTGCATTCGAATCTGATTATTGGAACGAAAGCGATGGCAAGATATGGAATATAATACTGTTTAGATTGGATTACCTATGATCGATGGCTTCGATTCGGAGAACACTTTCGCCGTATCAGGATCGTTCGCATCAAAATGGAGGGAATGTTAGTCCGTTTTCAGTGAATTCACCTTCGCATAAGCTTAATTCCACCAGTAGATTCGCCTTGGGAGTTCGGAGATTTATAGGAGGTGAAAAACATAGTCTTCCTCGGAAAGGTTTTCGAACGTGGAAGAGATCGATTTATAGTTGCTTATCGTTTTTCTTGGTAGGGTTTTTGTTAGGTTTGGCACCGTTTGGGGAATTCGAAGATGTTAGGACTCCCGATTTTTCATTTGAAGTCAACCGCCCTCCGATCCTAGATGTGAAGGAGGACATTGTGGTAGATAAGGTGGAGTTAGCTGTTGTGAAAAGAGAAAACGTGAAGGAGAGGTTTGATTATGTTGCTAGGAAACAGGTCATTGTTGTGACACCAACTTATAATCGAGCTCTTCAGGCTTATTATTTGAATAGACTGGGACAGGTTCTTAGGCTTGTACCTCCTCCAGTTCTTTGGATTGTTGTCGAGATGAATGTGGCTTCTACAGAAACTGCAGATATTCTTAGGGGAATGGGAATCATGTATCGGCATTTGGTATGCACCAAGAATCTTACCAATATAAAAGATAGAGGTGTTCACCAGCGGAATACAGCACTTGAACACATTGAGCACCATAAGCTTGATGGAATCGTCTATTTTGCAGATGATGATAATATCTATTCACTTGAATTGTTTGAGACTTTGAGAGACATCAGGTACATTGTTTGCTATTGTTAGCATCTCTTATTGTTCTATTGCTAAACCCTTATCTTGTGAGTATGTGTGATTGTGATTTAATATGTTACAATCAAAGATGGGGTATGTTTGCTTCAATTACCGATTACTTTTGGTCATTAATCTCTAAGATGTTTCTATTCGTTTACTTTGCTGATTGCAGCCGTTTTGGCACATGGCCAGTTGCAATGCTTGCACAGAGCAAAAACAAGGCAGTTTTGGAAGGTCCTGTATGCAATGGCAGCCATGTAATTGGATGGCATACAAATGAAAAAAGCAAAAAGCTTCGAAGATTTCATGTTGATATGTCGGGATTTGCATTCAACAGCACCATCTTGTGGGACCCAAAGAGATGGCAAAAACCCATTTCACCTTCAATTCGTCAATTAGACACCATTAAAGAGGGATTCCAAGTATGACATCACATCATATATATATATATATATATATATATATATATATATATATATATATATTCTTTTTCAAATCAACATTCACTTAAATGTATGTTTTTTTTTATGGTATTATTCTGGGATTTCAGGAGACTACTTTTATAGAACAGTTGGTGGAAGATGAGAGTCAAATGGAAGGTACCCCATTTGGGTGTTCTAAAATCTTGAATTGGCATCTTCATTTGGAAGCTCGTGAAGTGGGGTACCCTAGAGGCTGGTTGCTTCAGAAGAATCTTGATGCTGTTCTCCCTATTGAGTAAAAGGCAATGAATGTCACCTCGAAAAAGGAGCTGGAAAGAGGTATGTCTTAAGTTTCATTAAACTTCATTGCATATGCTTGTTGTGTGTCTGATATGATCAATGATGGAATGGAATCACACATGAATGGAATGAGTAATTACATTCAAGACTCATTAAATATCATTGAATGTTTGGTGTTTGTTTGGCTTTGGTACGATCGAATGGAATCATAAATGAATGGAATGAGTCATTACATTCCATTGTCATGTTTGGTTGGATTGAAGGAGTGGAATGGGCCTTTCAATCATTCAGCTTGTTATGTACAATTTAAAAAGTAAAGGAAATTTTATTGATATATAAATTGCATGTAACCATATTTCATATCATTTGAAATAATATATAGTAGTATATGTGCTTCATATAGCTAAAAAAAGTTTAAACATCACTTTAAAAGAAGTGTTTACGAAAATTAATAAAGCAAATAAAATTAAATAGCATGAAATCTTAAAATAGAATCTAAAGTAAACTCCTGTTTCTTAAAGTTGATGAATATTTGAAGTTAAAAAGAATGGTTCCAAATATTCTGTTGAATCTTTTTTCTCATTCCAAATCTACTTTTTTTGGGGTCTCTCCAAGGGCAAAATGGTCTTTTTTTTTTTTAATAAAAGAAAAAGGTGAGTTATCTAGATGTAACGATCCAGGGACCAAAATCAATATGAAACCTTGCAGTAGGGACCAACATTGACAAAGACTAATTTTTGGACGTAAACCATAAAAATGACATACTACAGGGACCAAATATGTAATTTCCGTTTATTTGTGTATCACATCATTCTACTTTCATAGTTTCATTTCATGTATGTCTTTTACATTTAACCTTAAAAAAGTTATCCAATCATAGCATTAAAAATTGGTTTTTGATATTCATCAGTTTCCACAAAGAAAAGCAGCTCTGCCTTTTTTTTAGAAGCAGTGCAAAGAAGGAAGGGAGACAAAAGGACACGTTATTTCAGAGTTGGTGTTAAGTTCTGTTTCTGTATGATGCTTATTCTTTTACTATATGAGATGGGCAATTGCCTTTTTGTGAAAATTCTTTTTTTTTTTTTTTTTTTTTTTTTTTGAAAGATGGGTATCTTGAAATGTGGTAGAGTTGTTTTTTGTTTTTTGTACTTAAAAAAAATGTAGACTTTTGAAATCTTGTTAATTCAGCGTACTTTCTTTATTCATGGTTTTTGAGTTGTTTCTATTGTTTATTCAATGGTTTATGTCAAAACCTTTTCATATAAGTGAAATAGAAATGATCTTCTCTCATAATCTTCCTCCCAAATTGGAGGGATTTGGAGAAAAATTAGGCTTCCTAATCTTCTTATCAATGAATACATGTTTGTTTCCTAATTTTCCTTTACCTTTATTTGATTATTTCTAACTCAAGAACACAAACATGTAAAATCCTTTCTTTTCTTTTCTCTCGATATTTTTTCTTATTTAAGGAACCAGGTGTAAGCATTAAAAATATCAAGTTCAAGAGTTGAAAATGATGCTAACTAATAATCTAGTAATTAGAATTCTAGCAAATTTATAAATGGAGACATATGGGGTACATGAAACACCTGTAATGTGTAGTATTATAATGAAGAGTTGGGAGTAGTAGAATACAAAACTGGATATTGTAATCAAGAATTAAGAACGTGAAGAATAAGGAAAAAAAAAATCATATATTAGTTATCTAATCACGAAGACTAAAAACAATCCATTATTGAACGTGATTCAGATTCAGACTCTGTTTCAATTTTATATTTTTAAACGTTTAAATTTAAAAAAAAAAATGTATAAATAAATAAATAAAAAGAAATCGAACTCATGTACATAAAGAGTTCTTACTTTGACATATAGCTTTCTTTATAAAGTCTTGTGAAAACAAAATTAGTAACCTTATTTGGTTTCTAATATATTTTTAGCATGACAAATGACACAACATACATTTTTTTTCGATATCTACATTGTATTATTTTTATGTTTTAAATTGAGCATTGTATTTTCCAACTTTATTTAATGTTGACATTTTCATTTTTGTTCAATGACACAAAAAGACACTACACTTTTTTGACTTTGACACTATATTTTCTAATTTTTTTTATAAAAACATCATGTTTTCCATTTTTTACATCGTATTTTCCAACTCTACATAACTCTCTGTAAATAATAAATCCAATCATTATAACTAAAAGACAACTTCAAATTTAGTTCTTGTAGTTTGCAAAAATACTTTGGATAGGATCCAAAAAGTTTCTGACTTGCATGAAATGTCCAAAATCAAAATTTTTCTGTGGTTTTGGTCCAAATAAATATGAAAAAACCATTTTACCCTTGTTGTTTCTTTTTTACATTTTTTATTTATTTCAAAATTTAAATAATTATTAAAAAAATAAAAAATAAAACTACACCCTCATCCCTCTCCATCAGTCCTCTCTCCCTTTCTCTTTCCTTTTCTTTTTTTACTCTCTCTCTCTCTCTCTCTCTCTCTCTCTCTTATTCTTACTCCTAACATTTCACCTGCAATTTCTAGATGAACAAACCAGACCAGATCCATCATCACCCACCTCCAGCAACCTTGCCAATCTCCAACCACCTCTCCCATCGTCGACATCCATCGCCCACTTGATCCCACCTAAACCAGCCATAGCCTCTCTATCTCTCTAGATTTATGGGTATGAACATTAAATTCATATGAAATCATTTCTGGTTCTGAGTACCAAATACTATTCTGTAAGCTCCCCATTCTTGACCCTATTTAATGGAACCTACAAATCAGCTTGTCTCCCCAATGCTATGTCCTAATCACCAACAACCAATGTCCCTAAATTTAAAGCTCTAGCCTTTCTCAGCATATCCAAGAAATAAGAATCATCAGGAAACTCGATTTCTCAAGAACCAACCTGCAACAACAAAATCCTTTGAAAACTCCCACTTGAAATGCTTCAATGACGACATCAATTCAGTCTCCTTCGGTACAGAGTAAGATGAGAAGTAGATATGAGGGATGGGGGACAGGTGTTGACTTTGATTTCAGTTTCAGAAAGAGGCATACAAAGCTTTTTGATTTGGATCTTATGGGGGGAATAATTTCCAGAAGGAAACCTACACTACACATACACATTGTAGATTGGATTTTGTAGGTTTTCTTTTGTGATAGAGATTGTCGTGTGTATGTTCATCAGAAATTGGTGGAGTAACCAGTGAAATAAGAGAGAAAGAGTCAAAGAGAAAGAGAGAGAGAGAGGTGATAGAGAGAGTACGGCGGGGGTGGGGGTGGAAAATTCTTTTTTTTTTTTTTTTTTTAAATCAATATAGCATTAAAATACTTATAGAAAAAGAAAAAAAAAATCAAAAGAGCATATCTATCATTTTAAGTTTTTTTGGATCAAATACTCAGAAAAATTTTGATTTTGGACCTTTCATGCAAGTTGAAAACTTTTTGGATCCTATCCAAAGTTTTTTAAATATCACAGGGACCAAATTTGTAGTTTTGTCTAACTAAAATATATATAAAATATTGTTTTAAATTTACTTTATAATGGTCAATTCCATTCCCTTATGAATCTCAATCAAGAGAAGGAATTATATTTTATGATGAGTGTATCAAACTATCAATATTATTTCTATGTTGCAAACAAACAAAATATTTTCATTATGTTTAATGCTCAATCAATGGAAAACAAACAAACATTATACCTTTTAAGATGATAAAAAAAAAAAATACAACTTGTAGTAAATATACTTTTTAAAGATAATACAATATGAATAACACAAGAATCATCCTAATCTTGCTTCTCTTCTTAGAACCTGTGTCAAAAAGCAAAATAATTCACACTACATTTCAATAACATAACTTTTAAAATAATAAAAAGCCAAGAAATTTTTTTTCTAAAAAAAAAAAAACCTCTTCAGCAAATTTGATTAAAATGGTGGTCCGAGGGCGTTGTTGACCATCCACAGGAACAAAATGAGCGGTAACAACAGCCGGGAAGCCAGCATTATCCAACACTCCCTTCAAACACAACAAAAAAGGGCAAATTTGTAAATTCTCAGAACTTAATGTGCAAAATCTTATTGTTTGACTTTCTCTATTAACTCGTTCTTTCTGTATTAAGTAGAAAAAAAAAGGAAATAACATTTTAAATTCTTACCCTTACTACCCCTGCAACAAAAGCACCACAATTGAAGGATCCCATGTCCTTTGGAACAGAAATAAATCTATAAAAAAATTTAAAAAAAAAAAAAAAATCGATGAGAAAAGAAATTTTGTGATATTAATAAAGGGAAAAGAGAAACTTACCTGTTTACTAGAAGCTCCTTTTCACTAATCATATATTCATCTTCATGTTCTGTGCCTTTTTCAAGTGAATCAGCTACCTAAATGTAACATTCTTGTATAATTATAAATAAACATTTAACCACTGAATTTATATAAAAAAGCAATATAAGAATGAAACTATTAAGTACTATATGATTGACATTTTTAACTATTTACAAACAATAAGTTCAAGATTGGTTCCATATAAAACCCTAAAAGAAAAAGATTTTTAAAAAAAAAATAGAAATTTCAACAAACCTTTCCAAATAAAACCTTCCATACAGTAGTATGTATAAAAGACAAAATGCCCAACAATCGTGTCTCCCTTCTATTACCCTGCATCATTAAAAACAAAATTTTAAAATTAATTTACTCCATGAAATCATTTATGTGGAAATAGATCAAGTGTTTGTTACAATGATTGCTTTATTTACAAAAGAGTAGATTGTTATTTAAATAGTAGTTTTGTAATTATATTTAGTATGTTAAATATTTATGAAATTTGGATTAAAAAAAAAAAGACTTATGTGACCTTTTCTCTATTGCAAAGTAGTTCAAGTACTCGTGTCCCAACAGCATAGCCAGCATCCTCCAATCTGATCACATAAAATTGTATAAAATTCGTTGAAAGAAAGTTGATGTTATAAGAAAAGTCTTATTGATTTTTTATATTATACTAAAATGCAGCTTTGTTTTTATTTATGGACATGACTTAATGTGATAACTTTATATGAAGGTGTTTCCTTTTGACTTGTTAGAGAAGGTTATTGAAATGAAGCATTTCCCATTGAGTTATAACTTTTTACAAATTTGCCCTCGTTCTTTTTTCCTTCTATCAATCTTTTGATTTTCATTGTGAAACAGTAAAGACAATACTATTAGAATGGAGAAATTGAGATAGATTTTATCACAAATTCCCACTAAGTAATTTCTAGTTGTAAGATTGATTATCCCTTTCATGCCATTTGGTTTTGAACTGAAAGGAGGACAAAGGGGTTTTCTGAAATTGGAAAAAAAAAATGACATTTTTTTTCACAAAAAACATTAGATTGTGGATTGTAAGTTATGAATCATGATGATGATGGTATGATGAACTTGGAATTTATCAACTTTACCTCTTTTCTAGTTCTCCAATGTTGTCAACTTGTGTTTGATTGTACTGAACAAGTTCTGAAAATAAGTAAGCAAACGCACCCAAACTGACCTGAAAATCGAACACAAAATCTCTTCAAAACCCTAAAGACAAAATACCCAAATCACAATCTTCTAATTCGACAATTATAAATATAATTGCGGCCAACATTATCAACTGTGACACATGATCAAGAAAAGAGTAGCCTGAAGTGCCCTTTTTTGGTCCTAACTCGTTTTCGATAACTATCTAGAAACCCTAAAAAAGGTTGATTTGAGATCTGGGGAGATGAGAAAGTAGGAGAAATGAAAGGGAAGAATATTAAAACCTCTTGTTTGCCCTTGCTAAGGGGCTTGTCGAGCACATTTGTGTACTGCTTGATCTTCCCAGCTCCGATCATCGTCTCCTTCTTTCTCGGAGTCGACTCCGATTTCCGAGTAGTTTCCTGGTTATAAATCGTTTTGATCGTCGGTTGCTATTTCAAGTTTATAATTTGGGCGTTGCCATTTTTTAGTATTTAGTATTTACTCATATTTTTCTTTGAGTTAATTGCAAATATCCATTCTTGAATCTCCACAAAAACCTTTTCTTTTGCATTTTATAAAATGTGTCTTATACT